TATAATTGATTTGGCTTCTTGGCTATTCGTGTCACAATCATTGAGTGTAAAATAAAATTGATATTGTAAATTTTCAAGCAATAAAAGTTGAAGGAAGCTTTATTCGTTACATATCCGATGAAATGAGACGAAAGCATTGTTTTTATAATGGAAAAATGTAAGGGAGTCATTGCCGCATGAAACGTACGCCGATCGAGTGTTTAAGCTAAGAAAGGCAAGGAGCCAACATTATAAGAGACGAAAGTGTAAACGCGAGGAGAGAAAGGAAGGAAGGGACTGGATAAGCGTCCGAACGATTGTCAAAGAGATTATCGTAGGCAGCATAGCTTTGGCGTTCGACTGGCCCAGCAAACGTTTATAAAGGCTGCCTCGACGCACATTTTTATTAAATGCCATCGCTCTCCAACTAAAATGCCGTCTTCCGTTCGCTGCCCCGTAGGTGGATCTGAGACACATGGACGAGAAATCCGGGAGCAACGTCGTTGACGTTGGCGTCGACCTCTCCGAGTTCTACATGTCCGTCGAGTGGGACATACTCGAGGTCCCCGCGGTGAGGTGAGAATAGACAACTTTATATACTTTTGTTTTGTTGTCTGTCGAGTTTTGTTGTTACGGGCTGGCACGCGCATCCTCGCGAATTCCTAACCATCGGCCAACTTGCATTGACCATTTGACTATAAATAGCGGCCGAATGAATATTGTCGCCCGGTCGATCAATATCTTCCGTTAAACGTTAGCCGTGGCGAATTTTTCGATTAAACCAATTAATCTTTGATCTTGACGGCGTCTATTATCAACATGAAATTCAATTTACGTAACTAAATAGTCTTGATAAATAAATCTCTTGATAATTTCCCTTAATTATTCGTTTAAATCACGCCGATGCATTTTTCGTGCTCGTTGGCATTGGATTTAAATGAAGATTTACGCACACAATTGCAAAAGTATAATAGAATATCGAAATAATTTAAAGCCAACTTTTTAATAAACATTTCGGCATTAATATCCACGGCGAGTTGAATTTCATTTAATTGAATACTCGATGAACCATGAAAGCGATCTGTTCTTTTTAATTTTAACTTGTCGATAACATATCGACATCGAATACATTATCGATGCATTGAAAAACTTAACTTTCTTTACGAACTTTGAGCGAAGGCAGTATTGAAATTTATATTTGTATAGCGCCGTACCTGACCTGCTTCTGTCACTACTTACTTTATTGCGCCTATGCGAAGCAGAAAAACTATCGCGAATGGAATAAAATTATTCGCGCACTTAAAATCCAATCGCAATTAACTTGATGCTCTCTCTCTCTCTCTCTCTCTCTCTCTCTCTCTCTCTCTCTCTCTCTCTCTCTCTCTCTCTCTCTCTTTCTGTGTCTGTCATATTGTAGGAATGAGAAGTTTTACACGTGTTGCGACGAGCCTTATCTGGATATAACCTTCAACATAACCATGAGACGGAAAACACTTTTCTACACGGTGAATATCATCATTCCGTGCATGGGAATATCGTTTCTCACGGTGCTTACCTTCTATCTTCCCAGTGATAGCGGAGAGAAGGTGAGTTTACGATGAATGTATAGAGGCAATATTTTCATTTCATTTCCTATTCATTCTAGTCGAACAAAATGAAAAATCATTATTTACCAATACAATGCCTTCAAATTCAAATATTTTTCTTGCTTTTTTCCCTTAAGAAATCGTTAAAACTTTTTATCCTCTTACCAAAATGATCCTATTCTTTTATTTTTCATATCTGAAATGCCATTTAAATTGAAGTTTTGGAGAATTAATGATTACTATAATGCTTAATTCTGCAGACATAAATGTCTGTGTCGTGTCATATCGTCGTTTGGAGCTTCCTTTTGTGTAACAAAAATTAAAATATATAAATTCACGAATCTTACTTACGTCAGCTATCATAATTTGGACAATAACGAGACTAATGGATAATAATTTATTAAAATTATTGTAAAAATTAAATGTAATGTAAAATTTTTAATTAAAAATTCAGTTATCTTCCGTACAGAATTACAGAATTTTTGTTTTCATATTCTTATTTTTCCTTAATTCCATCGTACAATATAATTCGATATAAATATTCATTAAATTCTTATAAGTTAGTAGTAATTTTTTTTTTTCAAAGATACATTTACATGGATGTTTGAAAATTCACTGATAGCACTTACAAAATTACCTACGCTACTTGCAATTTTCTTGTCAAAATTTTGCAATTTCCAATGCATATTATGCGTAGTATCATTAACATATTACAAAATTTAATAATAATTACTCCGTAAATTTCAGATTTAATAGAACTTACTTAAAAGTATAAAAATTCAACTAAAAGTAAAGATAAACGTGATATATGAGCTATATTAAAGGATTTAAGGACTGTGGTATTAAATTCCGGACGTTAAGTTTCAGTTTTATGCTCCAAAAACATTATAAGACTTTCCCATAATTTACTTCTTTAACATCTTCAACTGCGATCATTATCGTTTTAATTTCTATTTACAATAATATCTCCCATTATGTACTCATTAGAAATCTTAATGTTTATATTGTCCTAAACTGTAATATTACAAAACTGAATTTTTCATTCTTATCAGTATTCTCAACGACAAGGTACTTTCAAATTCCGTTTGCATGCTTGAAAATTTCATAATTAATCGTTTAATTGAATCGATAATTATCTATAAATCTTTATTTTAAATCTTTATTTAAGATTTTCAAAAATGTTGATATACTGTTGACTGAGTAAATATTTTAATTCCTCATCGATTCATTTCCATACAATCCTATTACATGAACAGACAATTTTATCTATAATTATGTATTATATTGATATTAAAACCTTTCTAAATTCTTTAAATGCCATCTCTTTTACTCCTACTTAATTATTAATCCTAAATTGGTAAATTGGAAATTGACGCTGAAGTGATAGTCGACAATTTCGCATTATTTTTTAAACAATTTCATTATACAAATATAATAATAATTATAAGCGAACAATTTTTTCATTTTAAATATTTTTTGATAATTTCAAAATTATTTAAATGTACTTGTAAGTTAATTTTACAAATTTATTCATTTTTATATATAATTTAAAATGAATTAAATTTGTTTTCATATCATCACAGGTATAATAGTTTCTAAATAAAAGTTTGTATATTAATTTATTTCTATCCTATTTTTATGTAATCAATATAGAATGGAGCTCAATGCAAATTAGTTTGAAATTGTATAATATTAAAAAATTTAGTAATAAATTAAATAAATAAATATATATATATATATATATATATATATATATATATATATATATACACTTATATAAGATAAATAGAGGCACTTGTAAGTGTAATAGTGGTAATATTAAATTACTTATATTAAAAATTCCCAGTATATAACTCATAGTAAACTAAAAACATGTTCAGTTTCTTCGATTGAATGGTAATTACGTCAGAGCAATAATGATATGATATATATGTTTTTAAAATGCAATTATTTTGTGTATTCGAGAATTTAAAAATTTAATTGCCTAATTGAGAGGAAAATTCGTATATCTTTATGAAAGAAACACATATACTACAATTTTCAATCTCACGCTCTTAACTTTTGCAAAATATGCTTGTCGAAAAAACGATAAACAAATAATCAAAATGTTATCTTTATCGCGTAATGATAATGCACTTTCACCGGGTTCAATAAAATCCACTTTCAACGATGAACCTAATATCCCATAATAAAACATCACGCTAAAATTGAGAAATATACGTTTACTACAGTTCACCATGAAAGGGATTAAATTACGGAATTATGTAACTTTTTACTGTAACATATAACTGTGAATGTCGAGCAGCAAGCGCTATCCACTTTTACATGGCAACGTTACATTTACCATAACGCAATGAAAACTCGTTGAGTATGTCCCGAAGCTATGTCTCTCCTCACTTTCTCTACTCCTCGCCACCTAAGATAGAATTCATCGAACCTAGGCGGACAATTGCCTTAGGTAATAGTGCCGCCCAATTGTTGATAATCTTGACAGATTCCCGCGATTTGTGACGTAATCATTAATTGGGGTCTTGTACAAAAAGCCCGCCTTGGTTACAACTAATTTCATTTGTGACGGTCGGGGCGGCGGGTTGGGTGGTTGTGAGCCTGTGCCTTCTCATTTCTGACGCCGCGGGAGCTTGTGAAATATAATGAAAATTAATCAAGCTTAGCTAGATGCTCTTTAATTATGCTCGGAGGCGGAGAGAGTTTTTCTTTCTCTAGGACTAAGCGCGAGGGATGTGATTTAAAATTATCGCACGAATTTAGAAGTGCACGAGGCGCTCTTATTTTCACTTTCTTTTCATTTTAACGCTCCATGCGTTATCAAATCTTAGATAAGTTTTCGATTCAAGCGAATCCTTTTCTATTCCATTTAACAATTTATTCGACATCTTCATAATAATAACTCTCCCAGTTTCTCAATTAAAGATGACGATGAAAGTTCCTTATAAGATCTTTGTGTAATTGTGTAATTTTTTTAATTGAGAGACAACGGTATTATGGAAATTTTATCTTTTAAATTGTATTATGCGTCTTTCCAAGTGCAACTTTATGCTAAATATCCATCTGAATTTCCTATAACTAAGTAAACTTGGAGCATTTTACAAGGGATATGCCAATGCCTGTCGTTCAATTGTTAAAGAGTAGCGGAAATGTTATAGCAAACAACGTTTGCCACTTATTTACACATAATGGCTAAAACGCCATGAATAACTATCATCGACGCTCAAATGATTTGTATACAATTTATTCGATAAGAATAGAACAAACTGGATATTATAGAAACCTTCTAGTGTGATAAAACAAAGTTTCCAATGGTTGTCACGCATTATAAAATTGCGCAAAATTTATCGCCACGATAGGGAAAGTATGGCGTTAAATATGAAAAAAGTAAAACGATATAAAAAAAAAAAAAAAGAGAGATAAGGAGATGTCAATCATTGATCGAGATGAATCGATAAGAAATATTTCGAAATTCCATTTCGTACTTGGCCGAGACGTGGAGTCGAGGGCGAAGGGAAGAGAAACCCTCGATTCTTGCCCTTCTTATCTTGCCTCATACGCAGGACAAGAGAAGCACGAGTAAATAAAAAATACGAAAGAGCGAGTAGTTTTATCCCGGCCACGAGTCACAAGAGAAAGAAATGGTACTCCAAAGAGTCATTTTAGACGAATCCCAAGTGGTGGAGTGGCTGACACGTTCGTTTTCACTTCCTTTCAAAAGAAATGCTTCTTTTTACTTTCTCCTCGGCTATTTCTCTCTTAACTCTTTTATTTTTAAATAAATTGTCGAGTTTTATATATTCGTCTGCATGTATTAGTACGATAGTCTGCGATGTATTAAAATTACGTATCCGCCGAAGATGAAACAATGGAATGATGAAAATATCTGGTTTTCTAATTGAATGTACTACTTATCTCTTATATCTTATATTTGATTTTTTATTATCTTTTGCAATTTCCCAATAGGAAAACATCGATAATACAAGATAGATCTATCCATATAAAGTTCAGAGTGATGATACTTGGATCGACATTACAAATTTATAACTTGGGTACGAAAATCGTAAATTTAATTTAAGAGTACACTTAATAAATTGCAAATCGAAAATGTTCTTGGATAGGAAATCTTACATTTATGCTTCAAGTGAACGAATTAATCTATCTACTGTTATGTTATAATACTAATGATCGAAATTGTTGGATTCGAACATAATAGCAGCGAGCTCTTATAATTAATTAATTTTAATAAAAAATAAAAAATAAAAAAATACGCTGAATAATATATAGAATTGGTGCATAGGTTAAGAGAAATTTCATACATTATATAACATTATATGATTATAATATTTGATAAAATTCTCTGTGATTATAAATAAACGAATCTAATATTCTCGTAATGAATTATTAGCATTAAAATTAATTAATTCCAGCTTGAAGATAGAAGATATTTCAAGTTTGACAATTTATATTAAAAGTTAATTTTTTAAATATTTCCAATCGTCTAATTAAACGTCCCCAATATTAATAGCATCTGAACGTATTTTTCCATAATTTATAAGATTGGGCTTTTCACGAATTCTTTTATTAGTAATATTAGATAAGAGTCTCAATTTTTTATAAGTTATATTAATATACCAGTCATGAATATTGCTTTATAAAGCTTAATTCAAGACTATCACATTATTTAATTAATTATAATTTAAGATTTAAAGCAAAGTACAAATATAAATATTTATGATGAAAGTTGAAGGTTTTGGAACTATTACAGTTCTACAACAAAACTCTATATGGAAAGTTTTTTTTATTACATATATCAATGACGGATAAAGCTGTGTTATTCATTAAAAATGAGATTTTAGATTAAAGGTATTATAAAAAACAATTTTTATAATCATAAAATTATATATATTTATGTATTTATTAAATTACAAATTTCATCATCGTGACAAATCGCCGAAATTTTTCACCGATAAAGAAATAGATCGATAACAATTGAAATTTACATTAATTATGAACAGATTTATTTTATTATTAGATAAATTTCATATATTCCTTCAAATATAAATCTCAAATTTTCGACTTTCTATCGTTTTAAATAAATAATGTTATTTTACAACATACGGTAATGTTTTTTTTTTTTTTTTTTTTTTTTTTTTTTTTTTTATAACTTCATAAAACTGCTCATTTGATTAAGGAGAATACGAAAAATGTAGATTGACCTTTACGAGCATTGGAAATTATATATAAAATTTCAATATGAAATCATTTATCATCAATAATTATCATAAACTATGATGGTTAAATGTATTTTAACAAATATAATTGTAAAAATATATTGTACTTTTAGCGCTATGTATAAAAGCGTATAAGTTAAAATCTTACAGCTATATTGTTTGCTATACTCTTGATAATGTTGATAAAGATTTCTTGAAACTTTTTATACTGATAGTATTACAGATAGATTAATATGCAAAAGATGAAGCGAATAAAATTGAACTTTCTTGAATAATTAAAGAATTTATCTTTTTTTTTTTCTTTTTTTTTTTTTTTTTTTTTTTTATTTCTTTTATTAATAAACCCGTGTCAATATAATATTACAAAATCAAACGCATCGATCATCCAGTTGATTGCAATATCTCGTGTCGTACATTTACAGACATCACAACGTACTCTTAGAGGAGCAACGAAAGATGAGAAGTGAAAGCCCTCCCCTTACTCCGAATACCATTAAGTTCAAGCATTCGTACACGTTAACATAGACGAAGTTGTAAACGCGCAGAAGGTAATTTCTTCGTAATGATGTGAGGTGACTGAAAAATCTTTATAGACATCATTTTCAAGTTTTTATCTATTTTCACTCCATATACCTGAATAAAAATCTTAAAAAATAGTTTCTAAATTAAGTGATATAATGCAATAATATGAAAAATATAATTAACACTGAAAAACTTATGAGTGAATTATAATTTTAATTTAATATTATCACCCTCGAAGATTACGGCTAAATCGTAAACACAAATTTTTATCGAAGCTATATCCTGTTTTATGTCGTATCGCAATTTAACATTATACTTTCAAATTTTGTAAAAATGGTTTATATTAATATTATCGTAAATATTTAATAGATCGAAATGGCTTCTTTTATCCTTAATAAATGAAAGTTATGTATACATATTCGTTTTTTACCTTTAATAAAAATTTCTTCTTATCTATGCAAATACAATAAAATATTTGCATAATTATATATTGACAATTAATTCACTAATATTGTTGAATCATTCGTTAATAAATATCAAAGTAAAAACAATTTTTTAAGCAATTATTACGTTAATTGAGATAGATAAAGAATGTATGTTAATATAAAGTAAATAAAAATATAAAATAATGCCTTAATTACTCGTGCGAAATTAAATTATTCGATTGTTATTAATCGATACATCTTCATCCACAATCTTTCTTCACATTTGACTGGTATTTTAATATTAATACTTTTAATAAATATATATTTAAAAATAATTAGGAATTTAATAAAAAAAAATCATTTATGAGTAAAAATTATATTCATTTTCGTCGAACAGTTTCGTTTCTCTTTTAAACTTGTACACATTTAAATACAAAGATGATGAGTTTATTGTATACTTTCTATCCTTATTTTTATATTTTCGTAAGATGGAGTACTGAACACTTTTCGCACACTATTTGCAGTACAAAAGTAAAGTGTAGCTACCCGAAGAATTACCCCCTAATATTTAGAATAAATGAACCTTTTTCACGCTTTTTTATGCACTGCACATTTTTTCATATATTACTATAGTATTATCCTTAAATTAATTAATAAATATTAAATATTTAATAGAACTAAAATTTGTACTGTAATTTCGGTTCTTCTAAAAACTGTTTAAATGTTCGTTCAACATTGCCAATGTAGATTGTATAGTAAATGATTAATTGAGAAAAGAAAAATAACTGCAAAATACGAAGAAAAAAATCATTTTGACGTTAATAACATATTTTCAATAGTAATTTACATATAATTTTTCAACTGCAAGTTTATATTTTAAACATATACATAGCATTTATAATGGATAGATTATTAAAATAAAAAATGTTAACATGTAAATTATCAAAATATAGAGATTTTTTTTTAATTTTACAAGGTACAATTTGTCAATTACATTTGATTTTTTCTTCATTGTATGCCATAATAATCTTTAAAATTTATTCATAAGAAATAAACCATAACTGGGCGAATTCGGAAATATAAATGAATTTTAAAATTATATAGTATATTAACATTTTTTAATTATTTTTAAGAAGAAGTCGACAAACTCTCTTTATCTAAATAATTGACAAAATACAAACTCTATATACAAAGCACAAAAACTTTGTTGTATTCATTGTAGCTAAAATTCCTAAGAAAATTGAAATACATCAAGCATTATAAATAAAAGTAATAAAATTCCAAATTTATATGACATTAAATAATAAAATTGAAACATTTTCATCAATAAATAAAATACAATTGATAAGCGATAGTATCTATAGTTTTTATAATAATTTTTTATAATATTTTTATAGTAAAGTATTTCTAATGGATAAATAATTGGAACGTTAAAGTCAGTAAAAACTTTCTCAATTTATTTCTCTTTATTTTAATTAAAATTAAGACACAAGAATAGATTTAATATTTAATTTATTTATTTCGTATACTAATGAAAATTATTATAAAATTATCAATCAAAAGTCAATAAATTATAAAATCATAGTAAGTATAATTAATGCTTTATATTAATATACAAACTTTCGTTAGATTAAGCCACTTTACCACAATTATTCCTTTATTTGACATTTAAATAAATACAATCAACAGTAAAGTTTCAAGCGAACGTTCAAATAAAAAAAAAAAAAAAAAAAAAAAGAAATAAAAATATTTTAGTCAATCTACCTTTATTTTACCATAATATTTAATTAAAATTACTAATATCTACTCGATTACAAGCAAAATAAATGTTTCGCTCACTTCACCTCTGCTCCAGAATTACAAAGGTTAAAAATACCTATAAGAAACTTCAGCTCATGAAAGCAATTTCACTTTCCTCCCTCTCACTTCCTGATTTGCAAAAAATGTCATGAGTATAAATTTATTATTCAGCTTCGTGTTATCGCTAAGGTAAAATTCAATTATTCTTTGGCGTTGTTAGATTTTTTTTTTTTAGAATGACACGAGTCCGAAATTCTCTGAATATGAGTTTTTTCACGTTAACAAGGACCTTTAAAATGTTCCTGTTCCAGGTGACGCTTTCCATTTCGATTCTTATCAGTCTTCACGTTTTCTTCCTGCTCGTTGTCGAAATTATACCGCCAACATCGCTGGTGGTGCCGCTCCTTGGTAAATACCTAATATTTGCCATGATCCTCGTCTCTATCAGGTAAGTTCAACACTGATAAATTCAATGTCATTAATACAGGATATAAAAGCAAAATATATTATAGAATTAATTTCTTTCGAATTATTGATATTTGAAATAACAAATTACGTGACCACCGACAATTTTTCTCCCTACTTTTACGAAAATTGGAAATCAGTTTATTCATTATAAACCCCGGCAACATATTTAATAATACGCCATAATTATATTCCCATTCGATGAACATGATATTTTTACAATATTTTGTAGACAATTATTATTGGAATATTTACAAAAAGATTCTATTAATTCGAAACTATTGTTTATACACCTTATAAGACGACGAATAATAAAATTGATTTCTTATTACATCTTTAAATAAAAGCATTTTACAAAATTTTCTATCCATATACATAGTTATTATTAGATAAATTTCTTGCCCAAGATATAAATGATAATTATACATCAATTAAAAATAAGTAAACAAACATTATCGAAAGGTTTAAATTCTTTATATCTTTAAAATTCTACGCAGAGTTTTTTCGCATAATATAGTCAGAATTTTTTGCCGACATTAATAATAAATGATATGAAAAATATACTTTTGAAAGTTTATACACGTACTTCTTTAAAATAAAACTGAATATGCTATTTATTATGTCGAAAAATCTCGTTACATTCCAGCAAGGATTTACGAAGAAAAAAAAAACAAAAAAAAACAAATAAATTATTTACAGCAATAATTTGCAAAAATATTAATTTTTTTCTTTAAATTTCTCATTAATTTGAATTTGAAAGTTTAAGGAGTTATATGGTCGTCGTGCCCCTTTTAATTGTTCCATTCTATTAAACGTTTAATGCATTTTAATGATATAAAACATCATAAATACGTGTATATGTATTGTTCATAATGTTTGACTAATCATATATGTTACGTTATACATAATTATACTCCGCAAGTAATTGCCTCGCAAACTTTACCAATAACAAAAGAATTAGTTTTCTTTTCCAAGCTGCAAATGTTTCTCATACAGAGCAATAGAAATTAGATAATAGTTATCCGTAATACACATCCTATCGGACTGCGTAATCCTCTTTCCGCGGTCAGAAAAAAACCAAGAAATTGTATTTCGTTATAAATCACTGGAATATTATAAAATCCTTAGAATTGCGACGTAATTTTCTTTTTGACTTAAGACACGTCTATGCGACCAATCCGAAAAAACACGCTGGAATGAAAAATTGACCATAAAAATTCAAAAATGAAATGCACAAAAGAGCACAGGGTAAGCTCATCCCAAGCACAATAGAGATTAATAGTCACACTCGTCCACAAACGAGTGCGAGGGTTGCTCCACATTAAAAAAAAAAAAAAAAAAAAAAAAAAAAGGAGAGAAAAAAAATGAAAGCAGAAGTTTTTCCCTGTGCCGGGTAGTACGCGTTGCCTCGTGTACCATTATATCGCTCGGTAGGAACAAAAAAGATGGAGTGCCTGGGGGTCGGTGGCGGGAGAAGGGAGGGTGCGAATACAACAAAATAGAATGGGTGAGAGATTCCTGCTTTCGAGCTTGCATTGTCGACGCCACTCACTGCACTCCTAATACGGATATTGCGCTCTAAAATCCTAGTTTACACTAACGAATCGGGCCGCCTTACTTGTTAAGATGAATCTAAACGCATTCGCCACCCATTGTCCCTTTTTCTTCAACGAAGAAACAAAAAATCCTGGCTTACCTAACTGAATCATTTCTATCAACTTTTCGGAAGAGATTTGTTCGCTTTTGGCGCGTCATTACTTGGCGAAGAGAGCCAGCATAAAGTAAAAAAATAAGATGCTTTAATCTTTTTATCCCCAACGACAAAATATATTCGCCTTTATACATGAATGCGGTAGCTTTACATTTAAATGGTGCTCTATGATTATTCAGCTCGTACGGTAGAAAGGAAATTTTTCGATATTTATCGTTACATCTGTTTCGCATCACCTATTACTGAAAGTACGGCTGATTGATTGATTGATGAATGAATTTCATAAGCTTCATTCATTCAAATTGTTAGCCATGACTTAAATGCAATTCAAATAATAAAATGAGTGATTCAAATTTCTGCTACGCATGCACACATACGCGCGCGCGCATACATATATATATATATATATATATATATATATATATATATATATGTGTGTGTGTGTGTGTGTATATGTATATATATATATGTATATGTATATGTATATAGATATTTAAAATAATGCAGAAATTGCCAAGGACTTTTTGCAACGATTTGCATTCAATGATTTAATTAGCCACATCTCGTATGTAGCACTTACAAATTCACAAATTCAATCCGCATCGCGTTCCACTTTGTTCTCAGTCTACGATTAGCCAAGCTCGGCATTTTATCCGGAATTTTCTCAAAATGGCGCTCCTTCCTACCACCGACTCGATCATTAAGATTCTCATAAAACAGCGAACCTGATTATGATTTGATTTCTGAATGTATTGCCGTCAAATCCCAAGCTCGCAACAGCAGTCATCAACACATTTATTGGCCAAAATAACTTGATTCCCAAAGCAGGTGCTTCCATCGCAGCAATAAAAATAGAGTTTCGATTGCTGATAGGGCAGAGTCGCCCGAGAGGAAAGGAAAGACTCGCCGTGCCCCGATGTAGGTTATCTCGTGCGCATGGAGGGCGTACCGAGGAAAATAGCCCATCGCGTATCGATTACACATGCTGGGAGCGCGCACTCTTGGTCGAGCGGATGCATCGTCGCCAACTACTTAGTGAAAATCGGATAACACCCGGGGACGTTAAAAGGGACGCGGCTCCTTAAGGTTTCGGCGCCGCGTCGCTCGGGATCGCGAGGCCATGGCCGTGGAAGTGACATGCCGAACGGACGAAGACATATCGTCGGCGAGTAAAGCCGAATTGAATCGATCGGATAAGATCACAGCCACTCTCACCCAGAGCATCGAATTTCTTTTTTACTTTCGACCGATGAACTAGAGATTAATATCTAAATAAAACTACAGGTAAGGGAGGGGGGGGGGTTGAAGAATACGATGCTTATCGGGAAGTTATATTTTAGACGTTTGAAAGATGTCGATCAAAGGGCTCGAGGCCCTATACCAACGAAACTAAATGAAATACGAATTGTTGGAGGGACTTCCATATATTATCTCAAATGTAAATTTTCAACTGCAGATCGTTCCATTTTACCTGAATTTTCACAAAATAATCTTACAATTTTCAATTCTTCGCATTATAAATAATGTGAATTTTCGGCCGTTAATTATCTATGACCCACGCTTATCATTACCTTATCGCAATTATCATTCAACTTTATGCTCATTCGTGATGTCGCAAATTAATGAAGAAAAAAAGAGGAAAATAACTCCAAATTGATGAATTGGACGATTGAATTTACCATTGAAACTACATATTTAATCGTAGAATTTTTTCATTATCTTCTTTTTGTTCATTCTGCTTCCTTCGACATAATTAGAACGTGTAATTATTCTCATGCCAAGTTTGAAAATTATCATTGCAAAAGATATTCTCTATTTTGATAGCTTTATAATCTAACTACATATGATCGTTACTATATTTATTTTTTAAACAGCTGAAGCTCTTTTTTAGCTAAAAATATTGTATTAATAATGAATGGCCACGTATCTAAGCTGTACATTTTTATACTTATACCAGTAATATAATTTATATAATCAAACTACAGATATATATATATATATATATATATATATTTGCTTTTTTTATCGCACATTTTATAAAAAATAATTTAAAATTCGCGTTGTTTGACACGATAATAATAATAATAGAGATATAATGTATCGAAGATCTAGATAAATAAATCATCCTTCCACATTATCATTTCATTCTTAAAGATATCATAGGAATCCACCCCACCCCCACCCCCTTCCCCATTGATAGGAATCGATAAACCGACAAATTCACGAAACATTAAATTATCTACTACGGAGTAAAGCAATTATCAAATTGCACGAGACTTTTAAAAATCAAACAGTTCATTTCATCTGTGAGCTTAATGCAAGAACGAACTGAGATTCTCAAGATATTTCTCACTCAGACGTTCCTCTGATATAATTAATTGATAATTAAGTTAAGTTTCAGACTTCGCTTCCCTTATACAAGCCATAACACAAAGGCGAACGGATAATCCTTCGACGCTCTCAGCATTTACGTAACCATACATCCAGTGCCCCCACCAATCGAGGAGAAGCCTAACTCCATTGTAGCCAACTGTCTTCATCTTTAACAATAGGAGACCGCCCATCAGGGTGTATCGTTTCCCAGTCAAAGTTGTCTAACAAGTCCTAATGTGCATCGAACTTTCAGACAATTTACTATAGCGACTGCTGGTTAATTTGGGAATTCGTCGAGCACCGCTGCTTACGTAGTTGACAGCCAGTAATCCTGTAACGTTATACCTCACTTTTCATTCGGATGAAAAAACTTCTCCGCTGTCTTGCAAACGGATGTTTTTGCCCACAATTATTCGGCTGGCCGGCTATATTTAACTGTGTTTTCTCATCACAATTGGCATCCTGTCATTCAGAGTGTCTGATTAACCATCTATTGTCTACTATATTAATAAGCTTAATGGACAATAAATTATAGATTTAAAAGCCTCTAAATTTTTTATTTAGCTACGAATTTTATCAATCCATTTCCAATTGTTAGTTTCAGGAAAGTTTTGAACTATTTCTTTCATTTTAATTGATACATGTATTACAATAACTGTATTATTGCACTATTTTCAATTATTACAAATATTGATCGTTAGCTCAATTTACTATTTAGTAAATAAATATCAATCGTTTTTCTCAAATAATTGGGTGCATTCTAATATATTGACTTGTATGCGAGCGCGCGGGCGTATACGTGTGCGTCTATTCATGTATTAAAAAATATTATTGACATTTTCAATCGTTTAGAATTTCAATCGTACGTAATTGAAGAGGCAACGATAATTTATCAATGT